CCCCCCTCTGTTGGCAAGTTAGAAGCACGCTGCGGTCCTAAAGGCAGTAGAGTTCATAACTTGACAATAGCATGATTTAAACCAGTGGTTCTCAACCTTCCTAATGCCGGGACCCTTTAATACAGTTCCTCATGTTGTGGTGACCCCCAACCCCCCATCCAGCTGGCCGGGGAGGGAGGGCAGGAAGGCTGCTTTGCTGGCTGTGCCCAGCCTGGTTGGAGAAGCGCCATTCCTCTCCCTCTTTCTCTCTTTCCTCTCTCTTTCTCTTTCCTCGTTCTCTCTTTCCTCTCTCTTCTCATTCTCTCTCTCTCCCCTTTTCCTCTCTTTCCCTCTTTCCACTCTTTTTCTCTTTCCTCTCCTCCACTTTCTCTTTCTCTCTTTCCTCTTTCTTTCTGTTTCTTCCCTCTTTCCTCTTTTTTTCTGTTTCCTCCCTCTTTCTCTTTCTCTCTCTCTTTTCTCTTTCTTTTCCTCTGTTTCTGTCTCTTTCCTCTCTCTCTTTTGCCCTCTTACGGCAGTATCATTGGGGGTCCCCACCGCCCCGGGCCTCTGCACATCCTAGTCGAACGGGCGGGGTGGGGGAGCAGGACAGGAGGCAGCGGTGGCGGTAGCACGGCAGCATGTCGGGGTTTCTTGCTGCCACCCCGGCCGCCGCCCCGCCACATCATCAGCCAAAGGGGCGGGGAGGGGGAGCAGGACGGGAGGCAGCAGCTCTGGTGGCAGCGGCAGCAGCACGGAGGCATCGTTGGGGTTCCTCGCTGCCGCCCCCGGCCCAGCTGCCGCATCCTCAGCTGAATGGGCAGGGAGGGGGAGCAGGATGGGAGGCAGCAGCTCTGGCGGCAGCGACAGGGCAGCATCGTTGGGGTCCCTGCCGCCCCCGGACTCCGCGCAGTCTGGCCTCACTCTCCGCCCATTGATGGAGCTGCGGTGGAGGCAGCGCCCGCCCGAGCCGCCTGGGGGGCAGCAGGAGGAAGGAGAGGAGGAGGGCGAGGAAGCAGTCACTCCGCGCTGCCTGGCCTCGCCCTCTGCCCATTCAATGGAGCCGTGGTGGGGGCTGGTGCCGTTCAGCCCATGCCAGCCCCTCTGCCAGCCCGGCTGCTCCCCCCAGGCACCCCTCTTGCCCCAGCACCCGCCCGAGCCGCTTTGGGGGCAGCAGGAGGAAGAAGGGGAGGAGGAAGAAGAGGGCAAGGAAGCTGCCGCCAGCACTGGGCCCCAGGAGGTGGCTCTCCTCTCCTACCTTTGCTGAATCTCCTTCTTCCTTCCCAGCAGCCTGGATTCCAGTGCGCCTTCCCGGCCAGCAGGTCCAATGGTCAGGCTGGCTGGGGATCGCAGGGGCTGGTCTCCCTTGGGTCATGGCTTTTGGGAGGGCTGGCCTGCTAGCGGAGCTTCCAGTGGGCCGCTCCCAGCAGGGATCCCGTGGCTTCTACGGGCAGCTCCAAGCCATGAGGCCCTGGCAGTGCTTCTCCCAGGGGGTGGGGCACCTGGGCGCAGGCCAATCAGGAGCCCTGCAGGAGGTAAGTCCGCCTGAGAGAGAGAGAGAGAGAGAAGGGAAGCGAAAGTGCCTTTCTGCCTCTCTCTCTGCAAATGGCAGAGGAGGCCATGCGGAGACGGATGCGGAGTGGTGTCTCGGTTCCTAAGACCATCGGAAATGTGTTTTCCAATGGTCTTAGGCGACCTTTGTGAAAGGGTCATTCGACCCCCAAAGGGGTCGCAACCCACAGGTTGAGAACCGCTGATTTAAACTTACATACTCTGTGTCCGAAGTGTAACTCTGTTTTTATTATTTCTTAGATGATATAGCCTAAAATGGTATGCGAAGTGAAGAAATCTGAAGAACGGGTTGTTTGAAAACTGTCAGAAAATAGTGTGGGTTATTTAGAATATGATACTACATTTATTTTCTTTTTACGTTCAGCTAGTCCTTAAGGTCTGAACCTTACAACCACAGTTGGGTCCAAAATTTATGTTGTTAAGTGAGAAATTAGTTAAGTGAGTTTTGCTCCATTTTATGACTTCTTGCCACATTTGTTAAGTGAATCACTGCAGTTGTTAAATTAGTAATACACTTGTTACATGAATCTGGTGTCCCCATTGACTTTACTTGTCAGAAGGTCACAAAAGGGGAGCACATAACCCTGGGATGCTCAACCATCATGAGTATGAGTCAGTTGTCAAGCATCCAAATTTTATTCCCTTGACTGGGGATGCTGCAATAGTCATAAATGGGAAAAATGTTCATAAGTCACTTCATTGTAACTTCAAATGGTCACTAAACAAACTGTTGTAAGTCAAGGACTATCTGTATATAGGAGGGTTTATTTTGGAAGAATTATATGTTTGCAACAACATGACTAACACTCAAGTTCTCCATTTGATCAATAGCTTTGTTAGGTAAAATAAAATTATAAAATAAATGCAGGCTTTTGAGGTTTCCAGAACACTCCATCACAAGCACTTTGCCTTGTGATGATACTTTGTAATAAGAGGCCTGGATCAAACATTCAAGTAAAATGTCTTGAGAAGAACCTTTGGAATTCCTTTCCATCCTGAAATGATATATACTTAATATAGAAAGTTTTTTGCCTCTTGTTTTTCCCCCTATAAAATTATCCTGATTTGAGAAATTGTAAAGAAATAAGAGCCAAGCAAATACTGTTTTTGCCAATCCATTATCTATACAAATTAATAGGGTACGCCACAGTGAAAGGGAATTCAATATTTAATGATATGAACTATGCAGAGGACATAAGAGCTTCAGTAAATCAAATATTTTTTCCTATTTTCTCCCAGTTTATCAAATTCAAAAATACATACTCATTTTAAAAACTGTCTGGATCCAAATAAATAGCTATGTGATTTGAAAGTGAAACTCTTCCATTACTGCTCTTTGCAGAAATTTTTCAAAATAGCTAGTAACAGAGAAAAGGAAATTCTAGTAAAAGTTTAGTTGAATTTGAAGATAAATAGATACAGTAGCTTACATATAAATAGTATGTTTACCTTTCTGGGGAAACATACTATTTATATGCAAGCTACTGTATCTTTAAGCAAAATAAATAAAGCATAATAAAAAGAATATTACTTTAGAAATAAATTTGTTGAAGCTTGGTTTCATATTTCTAGATATCAAAGACGCTTTTAAATTTGTTTTTGTGAATGATTGGTAACAATGATATTCATCTTTCTATACCAGACACAATACTATTTATCCATAACTAAATAATACATTGCACAGCATATCCTATAAACAGCATATGGTTGTCATGTTCCTTTTAGATGGCATAATTGTTTCCTTCTAAAGAAACTAAAATTAGATTAGCAACTGTGTCTAAGTATCAGTAGAACAATGTTTTGGTTTAACTTGTAGTATAATGTTGAAAACTGATGAAAGCCCCACTGCTTCAACCACAATTCATTTATTATTCATGTCAGAAGTTTAAAATATCACCCTACTCATAAGACTTTTGACTTTGAAAACCACATCAAAATGAATAAAAAGGAAGAAATGTGCTAGATTAGACTCATCAGCCTGTTAGACAGTTCAAATGTGTTTCCTGTCTGTCTGTATAGTTAAAGGCCTATGCAACGCAAGGACTTACTGCATTTTAAAAAATGAACTAATCCTGAGAAAATAAACAAAAACATGTAAAAAACACATTACTCAGGGAAGGTAATATCAATATTCCTGAATATACTTAAAATGTCCTAGGATTAGAATCAAATCAATACAATATACAATACAATATATAAAAAGAGTGTCTGTCAATATTTAGTGATTAATATATTCTGTGTTATTAAATGTGTTAATTTATATTGTTATAATGCTGTCAAGGAAGTATATAATGAATAAAGTTTTTAAATAAAGCAATTATATATTTATTAGATGCTTATATATTCATAAAGTAAATGCTAATTGCATTATTAACACTGGTTTGTTTAAAGATAAAATGGAAATCATTTATGAGAATACTATTTTGTGAGTTGTTCTGAATTTTCTTGAGATAAAACAAGAGGGCTGTCAGTTCCCTGTGACTATTGGAAGTAGATTAGCAAATAATGGACATGTTTTCCTATTAATCTGATAATATTTCAGTTAAGATTCTTGGCTTCTTTCCTAAAAGGTTTAAATCTGAAACAAGAAATGTTGGCCTTCTGAGAACGATAGTGTCCTAGTTATATAACATAATGCTATGTAAAACAAGAGATTTCATGTTCTGTTTTATAAATCTTTTCAAAGAGGTATATTGCAATGTATTGGGAACATGTACAGAACCTCTCTTTTTTTTAAAGAATTAGATCAGTCATGCCTTTTCTCAGACTTGCATAGTTGCTTTCATAAGCTGCTTCTAGTTGGCTCCACATGTGGCTATAAAGTAGTTATGTACTGCTTTAATGATTTGAATGGAAATGCTTTATGTGACCTCAAGCACATTATGAAGCACTTTTTAGAAAGTTTTGCATATCCTATTAACTGCTACTGCTGGCAAGCCTATATATTTGAATTTGGCTTTAACTCATGATTTTCAAAAATAGTTAATATTTATAAGCAGCGTTCTCATAAAATATTTAAAATTATAGCAGGAATAACAAATGTTGATATTGTTTCAGAATGAATTGTTGTTGTTGTTTTGCCCTAGCCCTAGTATCATTATTTCTACATCTTGGGAAATCCATATTTTTCTAAAAGCGATGGTCTTATATAAGATTCCTGAGCAGACCATTTCTATTATAATTGCCTATTTTAGAAATAATAAAACAATTATTTGAACCTAAGGTACTTTCTGTACTTTTACTTTCACTAAATCCTTTTCTTTCAGTCTTGTGTCATTTTAGTCGTCTTAGGCCTGAGGGCAGTATTTGATTTTGTATTATGTAAGCTGTTCTAGAAGCTTTTTACACTGAATTTATGGTATAAATGCTTTGAATAAATAATACAGCTTAGATTAACAGTTCTGTTGATTAGTCATATGGTAATAAATCTTTCTTAAAATATCTTTTGACAGGATAAATCTGCAATTATGAACCTTTTTGCTACTTCTCCCTTTGAGATTATATTATTCCTGTCTACCTTGGTACAGAAGAGCAATGGCAAATGTAAAGAAGCAGGTTCAAAATCACAGATGAATTTGAGCATCCAATATCAACTTCCATATTTCATTGCGGAAACCCCAATACAAAATATTATTCTCTACAAACAGCACCTGTATGTAGGTGCAGTCAATAAAATCTATGTCTTAAATGAAACTCTTCATAATGTCTATGAGTACAAGACTGGACCTGTTCTTGAGAATCCAAGTTGTGTTCCATGTGATGAATGTAAACCTAAAGGAAATCAATCTGATATTTGGAAAGATAACATTAACATGGCTCTACTCTTTGAAACATATTATGATCATCATCTTATCAGTTGTGGTAGTGTAGCCAAAGGAACCTGCCAGCGCCATGTCATTTATCCTGATAATCCTGCTGACATTGGAAGTAGAGTACACTGCATGTATTCCAAACTGATGGATGAGGAATCAGATGAGTGTCCTGACTGTGTTGTAAGCCCCTTAGGAACCAAAATTCTAGTGGCAGAAAAAGAAAGATTTGTATACTTCTATGTTGGCAATACTGTAAGTAATTCACCACAGCAGGACCATTTGCTTCATTCAATATCAGTTCGAAGATTAAAAGAAACTCTGGATGGATTTGAGTTCCTCACGGCTTACTCTTACATCGACATTCTTCCAGAATTCAGGGATTCATACCCCATCAAGTATGTTCATGCATTTGAAAAGGACTATTTTGTGTACTTCCTTACTGTTCAAAGAGAATCTCTTGACTCCCAAGCTTTTCATACAAGGATTATACGGTTTTGCTCTTTTGATTCTGAGTTGCGTTCATATGTGGAAATGCCCCTTGAATGCATTTACACTGAAAAACGTAAGAAGAGGTCAGCTAAGAGGTCAAATGAGGTATTTAATATTTTACAGGCTGCATATATTGGTAAGCCAGGTGCAACCTTAGCCCAGCAAATGGGCCTTGATATGAATGATGATGTTTTATTTGGTGCTTTTGCCCAAAGTAAACCAGACTCTTCAAATCCAACTCCTAAATCTGCTGTCTGTGCAGTTTCTATCAAAACCATCAATGAATTCTTTGGCAAGATTGTAGACAAACAAAACATGAAATGTCTGCAGCATCTCTATAAGAAGAACAACAAATATTGCCTGAACAAGGTAAGTAAGGATTGTATTATAAGATGTTAATTATCTAGTACTGTCTAAATTCCCACTGAATGTTCAAGTATTGAATATGTGACTATGCTGATTTTAGTAATGAATAGTAGCTATTATCTTGGACTATGTTTTGGCTTTGGTCCAGGACCTGTTGTCTTATTATACTTCAATTTCACTATTAATGCTAGTTACTGCCAATTGTGATTTATCTTCACATAACATAATTGTTATCAGTGTTGGATGTAAAAGTCATTGGAAGATGCATTAAAAAATAGACTTTGCATTAAAGATAGTATAAACCCTGTTTTCTTCTAATCAGTAGGAAAATGGGAGGTGTTTAAATCACAAGTCAAAATAGAGAATTTTGCTTAGGTTTATTAAAGCCAATAATACTACACATTAACAAAGTGATTCTGTTCCCTGCATAATCTTTCAATTAAATCACAAGTAGATGAATCACAAGTACATGAATATAACATACTTTATTCCAGCTAAGCCTGAATGGCTTGAAGTTAAAGCTTTTCAATTAAACAGTTTATGAATCAAATATGGTGGCTCTTTAGAAATGAAATAAATGGTTTTTATACTTTCTAGGATTTTTTAAATGAAATATATACATACTACATTGTATTTGAACATACCTTTCTTTAGTGCTTAGTTCAACATTTTATTGTCCTCAAATCTTAGTTTCTTTTGCTCATTTTTCTTCTGAAAATATTCAACATTTTGACCTGAGAACTTTTCCATAATCATAGATTATTGTTTAATCTTTTCCTATTGTATTACTGTGAATATTATTTTAAAAATAGTTTTAAAATTATCTAGAGCAACTTAATAATTTCTTCACAAAGCATCTGAGTAAATATATTGACAGAATCATTGGTGAATTTCTATTTGCTGGAAAAATATTTGTCACTGGAGAACATTTCAAAGTTGCCAATATTTTAGCATATCATTGACAAGTTCTTTAGGATATTAAAAAGTGTGATTATCTAATCAACAACACACAATTTCAAGATATGTATTTAAGTCAGAGAGAGGTATGCAAGCTGATAATGTAGAATATTGGTACAGATGTATCAAATAATTAAAATGTATGATTCTTTTCCACTCTTTTCATTAAAAAGGTAGTTCTCACTTAATGACCATTCAACAATCATTCAAGGTTATGAACTGCTGAGCAAGTAGTACTTACGACTGGTCCTCTTTTGCCATTACCTAGGCATGGGATAAAAATGATGGTTCTTGGCAACTTGCCCACACTTACCACAGCGGTGCTGCTTCATTTCCCCCAGCCACCTATTTCCTCTCCATCTCTTTTGGCTGCCCTGTACCCTGCCACCCCTGCCGCTGTTGAGGCTGCTCCTGCCACTCCTAGCTGGTTTTGCAAGGCTGCACAAGGTTTCCCTAAGGCTGCATGAAGGGCCAGTAGGTACTTCAGCTGAGTACGCCTTGTCAACAATTGGAAGAAGATAGCAAAGGTCAGTCAGGGAGGAGGAGTCAGCAGGCTTAGATGATAGTAAAGTTTAGGGCCACATAAAAGGAGATGTGAGATGAGCAGATGTGGTGAGTTGAAGCAAAGGTGAGTGTGGCAGTGCAGGAGAAGCAGCAGGTCCTCACCTAACTATGGCAAGTGGAACTGCTGCCCCTGCCGTTGCTAAGTGGTATAATATGACAGTTCATCAAATGACCACTTTACTTAGCAACAGAAATTTCAGTTTCCAATTAGGGTTGTTAACTACCTGTATTTGGGGGGGGGGGCAGTACATCAGAAAGCTTTCCAAAATTTCTACTGCTGATCTTCCAAAATGTTTAGGTATTTATTTATTTTAGGTATTTATTTATTTAGAGACCTATTTCCAATAACTCTGGACAGCTTACATTTGAAAAGGAAAAAAACAACAATACAATCATGGATACCATTCATCCAGAAAACAAATATAGAATCCTACAGCGGCTCAACAACCATCTTGCCACTGGGAAAATAGCCTGGTTTTCAGTGACTTTCTGAACATCATCTGTGGGGAAGCTATACAGATGTTTTTATTATTTAATATTATTATTATTTAATAAAAAAAAACCTAAATGCAGCCGCTCTGCCCAATATTATAAGATGTGCAAAACCTGTCCTGCTCAAATAGCCAAATCATATGCTCTGGAATTGATAACTAGCAGCTTGACTTTGTACCCAGAAGCCAACTGGTAACCAGTGCAGTATCATATAGTATAATAAAAAAGGAACATGATTCAAGGGTTTTGTCATTTTTGTCAATTTTAATTTTACAGTAGTGGCCAAAATTGTGGAAACCTTTTGGGGAAAAGTGTATTTTTGAGGTTTGATGGCTAATAACCACTTTTTTTGGAGTAGTACCATAAAATTATATATCAATAGAAAGATAATTTAATCAAGAATGTAATGCAACAAAGTTTGTTCAATTATCTGTACTGTATTCTATGAAATGTTATAGCCAAATAACCAGAAAAACTTCCTTTTGCAGATAAAGGGAAGAGGGGGGGAAAAAAGGGGCAGTGAAATGAAGAGCCCCAAGAAATCAAATAAAAAGAGACAGTGATATAAACATACAGTGATATTTATTTATTTAGATGATAGAGGAGAGAAATTGAGTTATGCTTATTTTATAATGGGAAGTCTTCAATCAGGAAACCAAAGGAGGTTTATTGATTTTTTTGTCCTTTGGGTATATCTAGCAATATTTAATAAAATAAACACAAAACAACACAAAGTAAAAGCTTTTCCTCATCTTCTCATAGCAGGTTTTCTAGTCACATGTCTATACAGTTCATAATGATTTGTTTTAAACAGATTCTCATGTTTAAAAACTTCATTATGCATTACAAATTAATAAAATACAGGAGTGGAGGGTTAGTCTACAATTTTCTTCCAGTTCAGTTCCGGTTACTTTATGGGATATATAACACTGCCTACTGCATTAATGTCTACTTTTAGAAAATACATTGGGTCAAATTTGAATGATACAATAGATATAGGGCACAATTAAACAAAGTGTCTACACGGCTTATTTCTTCTGTAGAGGAAATAGCAGTGTCTTAAGTTTAATAGAGTTTCTGGGTCTCTAGAAGGGAGCAGCTAAAGCTCAATGCTTTTAAATCCTTCTGACTGTATTTTTGCACCCTGGTAGTATAGCTTATTTTCCATCACCTTATGCTATGGTCTTGGATTTTCTTTACTCCACCCTAATTATTTTTCTTCCATTCAGTCATGTAGAATTCTTTGGAAACTGTCTGGACAAGGCCCTGCAGCTTTCTTGGAAAAGTTTTTCAGCAGCAAAGTTTGCATTGCCTCCTTGCTCCTTCCTAAGGTTGGGAGAAAGTAACTGACCAAAGGCTTTGTGCCTAATGCAGGACTAGAATTCACAGTCTCCTGATACCTTAGACTACATTAAATTGGCTCTCATTATTCCCTTATACTGGCATACTTCATATAGGAAGTTGTTTATGATTTTGTGTGTGTAAATTAGGACAGCTTTAATTCTCATTTAATCATATTGTTTATTTGTCTTTAGTTCTCTAACATAGCTAATCCTTTTAAATCATGAATATTATCTTTATTTAACTGAGAAATAATTAGTAGTCATACAAAGTTTGCTATAGAAACAGTGCACCATCAAGCAAGCACCTGCTGAAATACTTTTTGCTTTTTCTATTTTTGTATGATATATTATTTGAATTTTGACAATTCACATATTAATTAATTAATATGGATATACACAGCTGGTTTCTGGGATGATAGCATACCCAGTGATTGCAAGATTTAATTGATTTTATACATCTCATTAGTTGATCCATGGGATCCTCTGTGCCATAAATTTATAGCTTAATTGAGCAATTTATAGTTTCTTGTTTAGTGCTCTGCCAGTGGAGAATGTAGCACATCAAACTGGGAAGGAAATCCATTGCATCTTAAGCATTCATTGAATACAGGACTGAATATAAGTTCACTTCTAAAATTATGACCATTCCCATTTTATTATACCATATCTCCATTGCTCCTAAACTATACCATAAATGTGTTCTGGCAATCTCTTTTTTATTGCTGTGTCTTATAATGTTGCTTCATCTTTCTCCCAGCCCACGAATAAGTCAGATTCAAATCAGATCTGTGGTACCTGTGTTAAAAGTCACATGTTGATGTGAGAAGTCATAAATGCCTTTAAAATAAATAATTATTATTTGGCCGTTATTCTAACACTGACAAAGGCCTTGTCATCCCTTACCTTAGTGGGAAGTCAGATAACTGGCAATTACTGAGAACAGGAAGGATACGGATTTTTAGTAGGGTGGAAAAATTCATTCTGGAATAGTCTCTGCTAAGGCAAGAATTGGTAGATAGTTCTATGGTATTGAGAGAAAAGCCTCAAGTATTAATTAAGTATTTCTAGAAATATTATTGATATAAACAGTTGTTAAAGTCAAGCCTATCTTGATCAGGAGGTGTGACATACTTGTCTACTGTTTTCAGTAGCTAATAACATTATTATTTTTTTGCCCTGGGTTGCCTTTTTTACCATGTGTTGCCTTTGCCATTATACAAAGGAAACAGGCAAAATACAAAGAACACATATGTCCATTATACATGTACTTAAATCAATACTATTTACTTAGTGCTAATGCACTAACCAGATTACAAGAATTGATGCAGTGGGAATCAATACCAAGTGAATAATACTATGAAAGATCTTTGGAAAGAAAATGTGCTATGTTTTTAATTTATATTAGCTAATTACATCAGCATGTATCTCTTTTTTACTTACGTAATCTGTCATTAGCATAAATATTTTTTCTTTTCGTTTATCAGTAAATGAACACTAAGAGTTTCTGGAAATATTCATAGCTGATGCTATATTTACTGTATATTTAACAATTACTTCTATTGACCTGAACTAGTTTGGAGTCACACTTCCTATGTTAATATGCTTGTTGAAGTCAAGATAAATACTGTGCAAGAACTCTTTTAATTT